GTCAGGGGTTTGCCACTTTAAAACTTTTGACCATTTTTTGCACAGAAGTGCTTCAGGGCCTTACTTAAGTAAACTTATTCCCCCCAGAAGATTCTGGATATTCTAGACATAAGTTTGCCTGAAAGAAATAACTGCCTAATTTCTAGTCATATACTATTAAAGATGAATAAATGTGAACAACAGACATCTCCACACAATGCAGAAAGCAGGAGAGGTCAGGGACAATTGCTGTCTCCTAGGTAGGGCTGGCAGTCACAGCGCCAGAAGCCAGCTCGAAGAGCATCCAGTCCAGTCCTATCTAAGCTGTTACATTCCTGTAACACACATGTTCTTTCAGGGGTTTGAAAGGAGTTCACTCACAGCCACAAAGAGCCGAACTGATGCTAGCAAGCCTTGCCCAGCACATGACACTTTCCTGCAGCACCTCGCGTTCCTGTGCTGTCTCGGGTGCCATCTCTGCAGCCACCCCTGCGCTGCTCTCCCCTATGGTCCTCACCCCCAGGGCTGGCAGTACAGGAGGACCAGCCACCCAAACGAAGGGGAATGACAGTGGCAAAACTCACGGCAAGTCTGTGCAGCAAATCATGGGGTAATGGAGAGACACTTGAGTTAACTCTAAACAAGGTAGTTGAATGAGCACAAAGACAAGTCAATCCATGACAGCAGAGTTCATTGTGGGTTGATTTGCTCTACCCTCCTGGTGGGCCAGATGTACGCTTATGAATATTAAGTCTTTAAACTAGATCAAGAATGTAAACAGGGGACAGAACATTTTCACAGCCTGCTGTTCTCCTTTCCTTGCTCCCAGCATGGTACAGTATATACCGCAATGCAGCTGCACAGCAAAAGAAAACAGGATAATTTTCATGCACTATATACAAAGCATTCACAATTTCAGTGTGGAGACTGTGTACTTGTTTAATGCATTCACATGCTGCCAGGAGTGCAGGCAGTTCTGCAGATAGGTCACAGGAGTCAGAAAAACAGGACTTGATTCCTGATACTAGCAACATTTTGAAAAGTCACTTCAGGCTGTTTCCTCCCCTCACTTCTTCTGCCTTATCTCATTATATATGTAATGTTTCTAACCCACTCACTGTTGATTTGTTCTTCAGAACCTAAATATATCAAAGTTCAACAAATTAAAATTAAAACTAAAGGAAGTGGTTCCAACATACAATGCCGTTGAGAGCTGGATTTTCTTTAGAACTACTCTCTGCATGGCAGTTTTGTGGCTTTAGCTCTATATTGGTAAAACATTGTCAGTATGTCAATATGCTGATGTGAGTGAATACAGAATGACTAGCAAGTGTGTTTTCCATACTATGTGAGGAAGACCCATTAGTCCAGACCAATGTCTCTTGCCCTATCTACAGTTATAATCAACATACCACATCAACAACCCAGCCATCTCCTCATCATGCTTGTGCAGGTCTAAGTGAATGGGTAAGGAAAGTTAAATGTTGGGTCCAAATCAGTAGTTAATTCTAGTCCAGAAATTATGCAGCTATGCTAGTGTGCTGCTATGCTCTGATTAACATGTGTCCTGCTGGTGGCTTAGGTACAACACTGTAATGAAACTGAACAGCCTCCAGATTAGAAGTGGCTTGCATCTGGCCAGCCCAGGAAGTGAGCAGGACTGTCTGCACCTCTGTGCATACACAAATTCTCTGTCTCAGTTGAATTTTAATAAAGTATTGGAACTCTGTAAGATGTGAAAAGCAGGCAATTTGTTTCAAATAATTAAGAGGTCCCTGAGTGCAGGATTCTGGGGCATGTATTTCAGAAAGACTTAAGTGCACCATTAGAAAAAAAAAATAATAATAATGTGATACAGAACCTGCACCAGGGCATCTGTAAGAGGAAAACATCAGAGGCAGTGCCCTAAAGCCTTCACTTTCTCTGGACCTAAGACCTATTATCCTGCCAGAGCAATTTCCCTTATCCTTTATCCTACACATAAAATTAGCCAATATTACTAAGTTCCTATACTTAAAAATTAGGTCTGCCAGACTCTTTCCAAAGGGATACACCAATCTGTGAAAAAGTTTTTCACAGAAAGTCAAAACCATGGGATGAGCTATACTGATACTGATGTCTGTGTGAAGAAAACGCTTCCAGGTGGAAACCTCCACAGCTGTTAGGCATGGAGACTGCATGGCCCCAGATTTTGTGTGTCTGCTGAAGCTTGGTACTTTTAACTTGGAAAATAAAAAAGTCACACCCAAAACTATCAAGCAATTATTTAGTTTCCTGAAATAAAGGAAGTGGCTCAGAAGTGGGTGAAGGCTTTTGAAAGCTGTCAAATTGCTAATACATTTGTGGAGGGTGGGGGAGGAACCTGAATTAATGATGGAATGGAAAAAAAATGCTTGTCCTGCAAGCATTTAGTTTTCTTTATTTTTTCTAAATGGAAGCAAAGGGTTTTTTCAGTTTGTTTTTGGTGGGGTTTTTTGTGTTGGGTTTTTTTTGGGGGGGTGGGGGAGAGGGGTTGCCAGTGGGCAGGGGGTTGGGGATTATTTTGTTTTGTTTTGTTTTAATCAAGGTGTTTTGGGGGTTGTTTGGTTTGGGATTTGTTGGGGTTGTTTGCATAAATAGGCATTGATGCATTCTGTCAGGTAAGTTAGCATAGCTTTTTTGATTAGGAAGTCAGCCTAGTTATTAGAAAGTGTTATACTATCAACCTTAACACTAAAGATTTTAAGGAGCACACAACTGGCAACTAACGATTTTAGTAAAGCTAGCTATTCTGTGTAGGAAGAGATGAAAGACTAACAAACAGTGCACAAAACATTGATGAATTTAATGGGATGTTCAGCAGTGCAAATGTTTACAGGGACAGATCGAACTCCAAGTTTGGTGTTTATTAGTACCATATACTGGTATGTATAGGTACATCCACAAATACCATTTCTCATCTATTTCTTAGCAGTTTAACCAGCCAGATACATGCCTTTTATTTGGGGAATTTACATAGTAAAAAGGCCTTCATACAGGCTCTATATAGTCCTAATTTTTTTGTTGTTTTAATGTAGTTTGATGCTCAAGTGGCTTAGTGATTACAGGAAATTAAAGATATTTTATAGGATGTCTGCGCTTGTGGTGGAAGTCAGACAACCTTAAATATCTCCTGCTAGGTCTTCAAAATCACTAGGTACAATAGACTGTAGGAGAATAATAGTAATAGTAATAACAAAACAAGTCCCAAAGCCCACCCAACACTTACTAACAAGTGCCTGAAAATTATTATTGCCATAAAAGCAAAGCCTACACCACCTTTTCTGAATGTTGCTCCCCCATTAACATTCTCCTCCCTGGAAGACTGTCCAGTTGCCCATAGCTACAAGGCAGAGTATTCTACATAGCAAAGATGAAGTACAATGGTTCAGTCATCCTGACAGGAGAATCAATCTGCATGCCAAACTACATGGTGAAAACAAGGTCTGTGAGGTTGAGTACTTGATACTACAGTGTGAGACACTTAATTCCTTTAAGTGTACTAGAGGGGAGTTAAAACTTACAATTTCCTTTAGGCTCTTCTGCTTAGTAAAAGTACATAGAGAGGAACTGGTTCGAGCTAGACTACTGTGTGTGGACAGAGAAAATAACTATTACTTGAAATAAAATACTGCTACTCCTCTTACTGTCTTCCAGCCCTCTCTGTTAGCTAACACGGCTGACTGTGGAGGCGGCTGAGAGAGCAGACAGCAACCTGCCCTTTCTGGAGAAAAGGGAGCGGTGGGAAGTCTCAGAAATACTTACAAAATGGAAAGTAGGACAGTAGAATTTTTTTTAAAAAAAAAAGGTCAGGAGAAGCAAGAGATTTTGTTCTTTTCCTCTACAGTACAGCATTCACTTGTTTTCTTATAATATGCAACAGCTACAAACCAGATTTATTCAGTGCTGCCTCTCTTTGGAGACTTTGAAGGACAAAAGAACTAATGATCAGGCTTCAAATGCTCTTCTTAGCTGGTTCTCAACTAAAGACAGATAATTTTCTTGCTTACATCAGTATAAACCTGGAGTTAATATAGTGACAAGATGGTAGAAGCATGCATAAATTCAATGTATGTGAAAAGAGGTTTCAAGCCCTACATATAATTTGCTGCTATTTCTGAATATATGTTCCAAGCCACTTTTTAGGGTGAACATTACTTTAGAGAAAAGCTTTTGTGCCTACCATCAACTATCCCAAAGTACACGAACTAGCTAAACTGATGGAAGGTACATATACATAGAATGCCGCATGTTCTTTTCAATAAAATATTTTCTTAAACATAGATCTGTTTTATATAAAGTATTACCTCAAAATTAATTTCTTTTCCTGCTACTCACATTATCTGTCACATCTAGCACGTTTTGCAAGATCAACCTCTTGGGTTCTTTCTTTTATAAAATCAAAAACCAGTCAAGCAAAAAAGTGGGGTAATTAGACAATTTTTTTGAAGGCTCTTTAAGAAGCAATTTTTATAAAATAAATACATAATTTATATTTTATAAAATCAGTAATTTCACAACTGTAGATAATAGCTTACAATGTTTCAATTTTTTTACTAACCCTGCAGCAGTAAAAATCAAAATTTGAGGAACTCTAAGCAGATTTGAGATCAGGGAGTGGCTGAAATGGACAGGAAGATTTTTTTCTTGAAGGATTTAAACACAGAAAACCAAGTACTGCATCATGAGATGAAACCAAAAAAAGACTGTATTTTACAGGTTCATGTAAGAGATCTAAATGTATTTTTCAAGCACAACTACCAATCTGGTTTGCTTTTTTTTTTTTTTAAATGGTTTGTATAACTCTCACATGAGGAAGACATTTTAGCCTTCTACATTATATGTCAATCTTCCTGATGTAGGTTCACCATTGCATACAATTGTATTCTAGTTTCTGAACAGAGATGATATTTCTCCACTTTGCAAAGTTTTTAATTTGTTTTACTTCTACAGAGGACAATCAGGGATCAAAATGAGGGAAAGAAATAACAATTGCTACCTACCTTTGACAAAAGCATCCTGTCTCAGAAATGCAACACCAAATGCTAAGAGTTTAAGCCACAAAAACATGGTTATTTCTGGAAATCAGGCGTATCCTTATGAAACAGCATGTGTCTCTCTCTGGAAAGCAAAATAAGTATTATCTGTCTGCAAAATAATTTCTCAGCAAAACTTGAACCAAAAAGGAGAATAACTAGGCACATACATTGCACTGTCTGCTTATCTGTGAAGGAGTTGCTTCCTCTGTTACCCAAACTAACCACTCGCAAACTCGCTATGCAGTTTAGTGATGTCAGAGACAATTACTTCTTCAAAAAAAAATTTCTTTCAGTTTCCAGGAAGTCAAGAGGGTTTTTCTTAAGTTGCTGCAGTAATACTCAGCTTCCTTAATTCAAACGAAACTTTTCAGCCATTTCTTTCTACTGAGGAGCTAAACAGGAAAACTTTTCGAAGGATTTGATTTAACACAATAATTCTTTCTCTTCATATTCACTTGTCTATTGCATACATTCACTGAGTCCCTTCTATGTTGTGGATGCTTCCTGAGACTTCTGTTGAGAGAAAGAGAAACCCAAGCCATCAGTCAACAAAACTCTTACACTGGCAACAACGCCTTCATAAATAGATGCATCCTCAAGTGAAATGACTGCTGATTAAATGAAAACCCTTTAAATGTGGGATATATTTCTGAATCTTTCTACAAGGATGCAGTTCTAAGTATGACAGTAATACACAACAAATGGATAGAAGTAGTCTAATTCTGTTTTCTGTAATGTTCAGTTCCTAATTAGGTAACTCAATGCAGTTCTTTACCATGATAGTGCCAGAGGACTGTGATCCCTTTCCTGGAGATGATGCAAGGTACACCAAAGACATTTTCCCTCACTGCATACACTGAGATAGTACTCAAAAACTTGATAAGAAATGCTCATCATATAATAGATTACAAAGGAAATAAATGTTGGGATTGCTTCTCTTATTGGAGGATTCAAAGGTTTTAAAAGAACCAACAGAATCTTGTCACAAGACAGATAAAGAAAGCAAGATAATATATTTGTGCTCATTCTTAATAAGTCCTTCAGAGATTTCCTAAGCATCACACAAGAAAAAGTTGCACAAATTCACATAATTATTCACAGATGACATGAGTGGCTCAACCTTCTCATAAGATTAAACTCAGTTTTTACACATCCAATTTGGAGTTGAGTCTTAAAACACAGATCAAAATCTTAGTTTCCATTAAGCAGTATGTCTCTATATGAACTGACTGTGATAATAATTATATTGTAAATATGTTCAGAACAAAACTCACATAGTGATATCACTCTGACACTCCAGAGACCCTAACTTTGATATACAACTTCATCATCCTGGAGTTGTCGCAAATTGAATTTGGACTATGGCCCTACATTGTCTGCAGCACTGACATCTTAGTCCCTGTTATCCTAGACAAAACCAGGATAACAGAAAGGCTGGAGTGTGCCATCTGATGAATAGAGTGCATGATATCCTGCAGGGAATTTCATGTAAAGGCTCTCAACAAGAACCAGGCTCCATTTCTACCTGACCTTTCCCAGTAGTTTTATATAGCCTCCACTCAACCTTTCAGGCTGTGAGCCCAAGACAAATTCCTGCACAGTGGTCCTTTTTCTGGCTGTGTGATATTTACATAGCCTCCATAGCACTTAAATATTGCAGCATATCATATATATTATTTATATATTATTTAGTGATAACATCCACACTCTAGCCATCTTACCATTTGGGCATAATATTATTACACTCATTTAACAGTTGAGAAACCATAAAACATCAATTGTTAAAATTAATGACAGAAGTTACAAATTAAACTTATGGAGGATTCAGAGACTCAAATTATACCATATGTCTCAGTGAGGTGCTAAGAAGAAAAAGGCTCTTTCCAAGAGCAGATCCTTCAATCAGTGAGTTATTTCAGTGTCCATTTTCTGGCAATGAACCGTTGTCCTGTAACTGAGAGACAACAAACACCTTCATAGAAATTACATAGTATCTTTCATTTCAGATTAGTCTCAGATGTTTTAATATTCCATCTGCCTGCAGTGCATTCAAAACACAAATCTCAGTAGTCTGTCTATTTGACATTTGTCTATATGGACAACTGAGGAAGAAATAAAGGATACTGTGGTACTAAAACACTGGCTTTTCAAAGACTCTAATTAAGAAGACAATATTTTTACTGAGAGATGTCAGGTGCATTTTAGTCAGAGTCCTGCAGAACTGCAGACCTGGCCTAAGGAGGAGGAACGAAGTGTGTGACAAAAAGCAAACTCTTTCAAGGTTTCTCCCCTCATAATAAGCCTCTGAAAGCAGGTAATTATAAACTACATAAACAGAGCTAGAAGTTACACAAAAGAAAGTTCAGATTTAAGCAAAAAAGAGAATAAGACAAAGGGAATCAATTCTGCTTGCATTTTCATTAGTCAGAAAAACCTAAATGTCACAGGATATAAAGCTGGAGGACTTCAGAACTGACAGAGCAATCTCAGCTCTACTGATTAACAAAGGAGGGCAGTTTAGTTCCTCTCAGACACAGAGAAGGTCAGGAAATGGTTGTTGTAGACTTGCTGAGTGGAAAATATGGTCCATAAAAGCAGTTGGTCCAGAAGAAGAAAGAGAAGATGGTTTGAAGGGGAAATTCCTACAGCGTAGGGCTGGCTGATGGCCAGGATATAGGCTTTCTTATTTCACTGTTCTGTCAAGTAGATTGCTTGGTTTTGCTAGCTAAGATCACTGCATTGTGAGCAAGCCAAAGAACAGCCTACAAAGTATGGAAATTTCAGTTCTAGTGTGTTCAGACCTGTGCTGAAAGTGATACTATAAAGATGCAATAGTGGGATTTTACACTCATCGTATTATTGAGCTCCATATCATATAGCTTCGGTCTGCAGCTTTCTATAAATTAATATATTCATAGAATCATAGAATCATAGAA